CACACCAGCTTGGTGTTGGAGGCGCGGATGCGCCACACCACCCCCCCGCTGCCCCCGCTCTCCAGGGCCACCAGGTTGCGCACGAACTCGCCCGTCTTCAGGTCCCAGAGCTTGACCGTCCCATCGTCCGAGCTGGTCACCACGAACTTGGAGCTGAACTGCAGGCAGGTCACGGCACTCTGGTGCTTGCTGGGCCCTGGAAGCGGAGAGCACAGGTCAGTCCCCGAGCCGGCAGCACCAACCCGGCTCCTCGGGCTGCTCCTGCCGCACGCCTAGCAGAGCCAGCCCCCCCCCGCGTTCTTTCCATGCACTGTCATACATTGGGGTCACAACAGTGCCCCGAGGGGGGAACCCCTCTGCTGGGAGCCCAGCAGGAGAGAGTTGGGCTGTGGCAGCCTGCAGAGGAGAAGGCTCCAGCTGGGGAGACCTTCTGGGGGCCTGACAGGACTGCCAGGGGCCTCTCAGAAAGTTGGGGACAGACTTCTGAGCAGGGCCTGTTGGGACAGGACAAGCGGGGATGATTTGAAACTCAAAGAGGGATATGGAGACTAGAGAACAAAGAAATATTTGACACTGAGGGTGGAGAGCCCTTGGCCCATGTCGCCTCTCAAGGTGGTCGCTGCCCCATCCCTGGAACCATTCCAGGTGAGGTTGGCCGGGGCTCTGAGCAACCTGCTCTAGTTGCAGATGTCCCTGCTCCCTGCAGGGGATTGGACTGGATGACCTTGAAAGCTCCCATCCCACCCAACCCATTCCAGGATTCCATGACCCTCCTGCAGCACTCACCCTGCAGTGTTTGCAGGCACTGGCCTGTCTTGATGTCCCAGATCTTGACGGTGGAGTCGGCGTTGCCAGACACGAGTATGTTGTCCCGCAGCTCCATGCCACTGGTGAGCGACTGGTGCCCCATGAGGGTGTGCAGGCAGTTCCCACTCTCCACGTCCCACACTCGGATTGAGGTGTCCAGGGAGCCACTGACGATGTGTGTCCCGTCAAACTGCCCAGAGACACAGATCAGCTCAGCCTGCCCGGCACGGGCAGTGACATCGCAGCAGGGGTCAATTGACACTTCGATGAGACACTCCATGAAGAACTTTGAGGGGCTGGAGCATGGCCAGAAAAGG